AACAGGCACTTCCCTGCTGCATCCATACTCAGTGCAGCTGAAAAGAGATGGAGGATTGAGTGAAATGCGAGATCAGGTGATGATAAAGAGAGAGTGGATAAAACAGGAGCTCTTTCATTTAGTTCTTTTTCCATAATTTCCTACCAAACTTAGGAACAAATCTGAGGGGATGCAGGGCACCATTAGACAGTAGGAACAATAGTATAGTTAACTATTTAATATCAGAATGGCAAAGTATCTCCAGTAATGCATGTGCTCTGTCTTGACACACCTGAGCAGTTAATTTCCATAGGGTAGATAGTGATAAAGGGTGCACTTCATGGGTCGACCACATTTTTATCTTAACTGCTCTGAGTTTCCCCCATATTTCCACTTGTAAGCAAAACATTCAGATGTCCTGTTCATCAGGTCAAAATTGACCATAATATACTGCTGGTTGCAAGTTGGTAAATGAAGAGGAGCCAAACATGTGATATGGATATTGCCCATGGAGATTTATATGTAAATATTTCACAAAAATGTCTGAATAATTTTTATGCAAGAATATCTGTGTGGAAAATGGCTTCCTTCGTGTGTTTCAATGGCATACTCTTATATAGAGAAAGCCCAAACCATTTAATTCCTATTCCCTAATAGTATTACCTAATACATCTAATGGTGTAGTCTCATACAATATTTTACTTACCCCAAATTTTTAAAAGGGGGGGGGGGTGGAAGTCTATTTTAAATTAAGGCTTTATATTACCCTAGAAGTCAATTCAGACTCTACACTTTGTCTTCAGTCCTGCCTTCAGTTTGATTATTCCATATCATTATGTCCTTAATTTTTTAAATATTTCCTTTTTCTGCATGACAGAAGCACGTAATCAGTAAGGGAAATATACTGAATATATGGGCAAGAGAAAATGATTGGAGGTGAAGTGGTGATACAAGCCACTATATGCTATGGTTCAGCTGTATTAGGAATACCATTGTTTGTGGTGGACTACAAATTTCCACTCTCTTCGAGAAAAATGTGATTTTTAATCTAGTGTTGTTTTTAATTTAGTGTACTCAAAAATTGCTTTATTGTACACCAGGCTTTGATTTAATTGTGTTTATGTATAACCCTAATCAAAAAGATCAGGTACTTGGGTTTACTTTGACTGCAGAATCTGTGCTGGCAAACAACATATATTTGTCCTTTTACGGGGCTTTACTTTAGGACAACCACTGTGATTACATGTCAAAATATCATGCTAGTAACATGTCACCAAAACACCTGGTGAAGTTGGAATAGTTGTGTAATCAAACACTTCATGATTTAAAACAAAATTAAAATAAAATAACTGATGTTTAGTACTGATAACAGGAAGATTAAATGCGATCTACCTATAAGCTTGTGTGTTGTTAAATAAGAATAATAATTAAAAAGCAGCTCAGAATATCTGTGTTCCTTCATGTTTCTGCTGGTAACCCTGTGGTTAAGTCAAGCAATGATTGATTTTAAGAGAATTATAGCTATTATAAACTGTAATCAGCAGAGGATGAGAATAATTATGCAGAGAAAGAGGGAAAAAGCTGAAACATGGCTGAGCAATATTCTGATTGATGGCAAAGTCATTTCCTGGCTGTTAATGACTGATTTTTCAACAGTCAGCACAAGCGCTAAATCTGTGGGGGCAAAGGGAAAGGAATGGTTGTGTTATACAGAAAACTACTGTCCTCAGCTTACCGTTTTCATTAGGAATAGAACAGGCCTGGAAAAAAGCTGCAGACCATTGATCAGGTCCATCTCTGTGTGACAGGACTGCAGCTTGGTGTGAGTGTGCTTGGAAACGCTGTGAGTTGCGCTCTTGGTTTGCTCTACAAGCACGCGGTCAGCCTTCACCCCCTTCTAGGTCCTGCTTCTCCAAAGCCCACCACAACAGCACAGAGAGGGCTAGTTTGGGGATATTACAGGGCATGAGGAGAGCAGAACAGCACACATGACAGGAATCCTGTTGCAGTGGGACATTCAGATAGGCTATTTGATCCGAAAAGTTTTCCTTTGATGAAATCTCATTAACCTATGTGTTGTATCTGGCTCTTCAGTATTCTCAGCTGAAGTGAGTACCAGTCTCTCCAGCACTAGGCTGGTCAGATGTTACCCCTCATGTCCCGTCTGCGAGCTTCCCTCCTCGATAGCTTACATCTGCTCCCCTCCTGCCCTCAGAGCTCTCTTGTTTTGCTCTCAGGAGAAAGGCATGTCCCCTCCAGAAAGGCTAATTACCTGCCGCTGCCCCATTTCCGCATGCGCGCACATGTGCTGGCGATATGCACGCGGGCCCCAGCCAGCGAGCGCTGTGGGGGGTGGGATGCTGAGCAAAAAAACAATTACTCTGATCTTACACGAGACTCTGAAGGAATGTCTGCATGTGTGTTTTCAAGTCCTAAAATAATTCTAATTTCTATTTTATGCTACATGAGGTCATGGAGTGGACAAGCCTAGAGAACAGTGGGCTTCGGTTGACAGTTGTGTACTCTCTAAACTGTGACACTTTCAAAAAAGAGACTAATTTATCTTATCAACCGCAACCATAAAATAGGGTAAGGGATGGAAATAGATTAGAACCCATAAAACTGAGGGAAGCAAGACAGCTGCCATCCAGACAGGGGCAGACACTGCCTTGTGAGGTCCTGCTGACTTTGAAGAAGCTTGTGGGTTGTTCACTGCTGGTTTCATGAAGAGTGTCCTGTCATGGGAACTCTCCCATCAGGTTTTAGCATCCAGAGAAGCTCCAGAAACATGCTTTTACAGACCACCCCACCCTTCTCTCTCCCTCTTCAAAGATGATGCAGGTCCTGGATTTTAAAAGCTGGCTGTATCCCGAAGAGCACTGCTTGCCTGCAAACCTGCATCAACCATTTGTATAGGCAGCTTTCCATCTGTTCATGAAATTATGTCTACATAATGCTTTGTACTTTCCAGCAGATTTTGAAGTGCCACAGAAAAACCTGGGTGGTGGATTTTCAATTATTTACAAAAATCCAATTTGTCCAGAGTTTTTATTCCTGGTTCTAAACTATGTACTACTAGCTTGATATGAGTGCTGTATCACTGATTTTAGTGGAGTTGTACCAACCGGTGGAAACAGATGGAGTGAAGAATGCAGTTAGCAGCTGTATCAACTCCCAACAGCAGGTCAAATGCATCTGAGCAGCCAAAAGTACAAGAAAAAAAGGGACATCAGAAGAATAAATGTTAGAAACATAAAATTTCCATAATTCAGACTTGATAGCATTGAGATTCTTCATTAGGGACAGTAAAAAAGACAAATAAACAGGGAAGGAGAAAGACAAGCTACTTACAAGTGGTGTAACAGTGGAGTAATAAATACTTCTACAGTCACTCTTGGATGCTCAGTGAAGAGATTGCTGCTTTGCATTTCTGTAACTCCTTTGGTAGTGCCTGTGAAACCTCTACTGTGCCACAGGACCCCACAGAGCATTGTCCAAAGATGGGACAGAAGACCATCTATTTTTCTCCAAGCCAACTTACTAGTAACTTATATATCCTTTTAATAAACTCTTTGAAGATTCTGCGAAGATTTGTATGAATGCAGTGTATGGCAGATTTCCTTTTCTTTTTTTCTTTCTTTTTCCTTCTTGTGCTCATTCTGGGGATGTGATCTCAGGGTAAAATACTGAGCTATCTGTGGGTCACAGACAACTTATTGAACCCTGTGTTTTGAGTAACTCTTTTTTAGTAGGTGAAGTGAATGATGCTGGCTAGGATTAGTGTTCAGCAGTTCATCTCTGTCATGGTTTTAAACCAATAACTAAGAAAATTACTTACTTCTTGCTGTGAGATATGGATTAGAACAAGAGCAAAACAGGCATAAAACTTAAAAGGGAAAAAAAAGAAAGTTTTTTGACAAACCACAATAATAAGAACACCAGAATGAACTTCCAGAAAAACCTTTCCATCCCCTATCTACCCACTATTCTCTTGTTCGCATGACAAAAGAGACAAAAACTCTGGGACTTTGATGGTTAAAACAGTCCCAATTCTTGCTACAGTCTTTTCACCAGTCTTTGTAGAGAAACAGAAGTTTCTTCTTGTTAATTTATGGAGTTTCTCGCAAGAAAGCTATTTTTGTTATAGTTTTCCATTGCCCTAATGTTAGCTGCTCAGAGCTGCTATTATTAGAGTTCACTCCTCCCATTTTCACATCACTCTGAAGTGTGTATGGGCCATGAGTCTAGAGATAGCATTTTTAAGGATAAGTTATTCAAAGGCAAAAAAGTCTTCTTCATCTGTTTCTGTGAGCTTCACTAGAAAACAGTTTTCTCATTGCCTCTCAAGGCTTCAAATCTCCCAGCACTTCACTATACCATAATTACTCTACTTTTTACTCAAATTTACACTTTGAACACTTTATTCCTCTCTAGATCCTGTATCATGAATTAAAGGAGTTCTTTTCAGGACTTCATTGTCCATCTCCATAGTTTTAACAGAAAGATATTTCAGCTTAATTAAAGTATCTTCTTAATTCTCTACCTTTCCTGAAGCTTCTTTTCTTTCCTGTCACTGGTAGTTTATAAAGTCTCTTTTCATGTTGATCTCTCTCTCTCTCTCTCTCTGGATAAAAAGATTAATCCACAAGTCTCATCTGGGTAATGAAAAGGTTAAAATCTTGCCCAGGCTTTTGTAGATGGTTCGGAGATCTCTGCCGAACAGGAGCTGGAGCTGTCTGCGACGGAAGGTTCCTCATAGCTGCTCTGGAGAGCATGGCTGTCTCCACTTGCTGCAGGTCTTGAGCTTCTCTCTCTCTTCACTCGGCATTTCTCAGTGAATTCAGCTACAGCAAAACCTGCAGCCAAGCCAGAGATCGGCTCGGCCCGGGCCCGAGGAAAACCTTCCCTAGGCCCTCCCATCTCCCAGCCGGGAGACGGGGCAGGCCCGGCCCCATCCCCGCCCGGCTGCATGGCCTGGGCAGGGACGGGAGGCCTGGAGCTCCGCCACCCTTCACAGCCAGGAAACAAAGAGGACCCAGAGAGCTCTGCTTTTACACTTTAAGGTAGGGTTCACAAGTTGATCTTACTTTTCAATGGCCTAAACTGCTGTCAATTCTCAGCAATGACCGATAATTGGTCAGGAGAAAAGGCTCTAAGCAGTTCCCAGCAACTCCAACTCCCTTAAAGGTAAAGTAACTCCATGACAGTCTCCTTGCTGTATATTGGTCCAGACATTTTCTTTCCTAGTGTGAAGTGCACTTGCAGCAGATACTTGGAGGAAGTCATGCCTAACTGGAAGTGCATGGATAGTCCACTTGGTTTCAGTTACTATGTTTAGTAATGATCATGTGCTTAAATGTCTTGCTGAATCTGAGGAGGTATTGGGCTGATACTGCTGTAGATTGCGACTTTCTGGCAACAGGGAAGAATAGGAAACAAGACTGCCTAGGATGACATCAAGTCATCCTTGGTGGCTGCAGCATAGGATGGAGATGGGTTCATCTTGTCCTCTCAATCCACATGACATGAGCACAGCCATTTCCTGATGGAATTTCCAAGTTCCTTGTGTGAAATGAGTCTGCTGATGTGGTTTGTGCATCATGCACCCGAGTACCCACAATTAGACCAAGGTAACCAAAACCACTGAGCTTTGCTGTCCTTGCCCTCATGAAGAGTGATGTCTTTCTCTTTGTGCCCCTGCTGAGATGTGGGCAGAGTCACAGTTCAGGGGGTGCACTGAGGATAGAGTGGGAAGAGGAATGAGGTTTCAGCAGTGTTGCACTGTTGTAAGCCCCACTGCCTTTCAGGGAAGGCCTTGGGACAGCTGATATCTGCCATGGTAAATGCTGGCAGGCAGTGATTTCCACCAAGTCCTGTGTTTATGCCTCAGCAGGAGTTTTCTTAGTCATAATCCATTTCCTGGTTTTGGCCTGGACTAGACACATTTCCCAACTCACATCCCTTATTTCATTTTCAGGAGATGGCCAGAATGATATTCTCTTCTCAACTCTATCCACTTGCATATCCCTAGATTAGCTGGTGGACTTTTTAGGACTGAACAGGTCTCACTGGATTTGGAAGCATGGTTAGTTCTGTCTAGTCAGAAAGTCATATGTCTACTCAGACATCCAAACAAGGGCATGAGAAGTTTAGGCCTCTCTTTCTCTTTTCCTGCTTTGAAAACAGTGGCTCATGTTGGGAAAGTTTTAGGTGAGCTGTGGGTATAAAATGTTTTACAAACCATACCCATAAACTGGTTTGAGCCAAAGGTGCCTCTGGAAGCCAGAGGGTGGTGGCTGATGTTGCCAGCAATGCTGCCAGGCCTTGCCAGCTGCCATGGAGTTCTGTAATCTGGATGCCTCTTGACTGAAAACTGGATGAGGAGCTATGCATGAAAGATACATCTCTTTCCTGGGAAAGGGCAGCTTAGTGCTTGCACATCAAGCACAAGAGCAGCAAGCTTGCTGGGTTTTGTTTTCCTTCTCTCCTCCTTTTTAAAAGGAAATTGTGAGTCACAGTCCCAAAAATCTGTAGCATAACACCACCGATGGCTGGATCAACAAACAGGCGAGCAGAAGGCTATGTGGAGCGGGGCTGGGCTGGCAGCCAAGTGCCCTTGCCTGAACAAATGCAGCCAGTGGAACTTTGTCATCCAACCTCTTTGGATGCCAAATGTATTCACTTGGTAAATGAGGCAGCTGGGTTGTTACTTTTCAGGAAATGGCACAGGAAGGAGTTTCCTGCAGTAGGTGACAGGCAGAGAAGCTGTCATGGGCAAATATACTGCAGCCCTATGCTGAAGTCCAGCTTGCCAGAGATTTTACTTTACCCCATACATTCCACTACTGCTCAGATGTTTCTCCAGCTTGACCTGCTCTTTTCTTGCTCTCTGAGCAAGCTGCTTGCCAAGATTTTCTCAAGACTGCTCTCAGACAACAAATCAGTTTTTTCTCTTACACAGAGTCTTTCTCACCCTTAGAAAGCCTTTTATGTCATAAATGCAGCTTCCCACTGACACCACACTTCAAGAAAAGACACAGAAAAATGAAGTCAGGAGATAACACACAGTGTAGTATAATGAGGGCACCAGCTTGGAGACATATATGCTTTTTTCAAAAAATGTGAGATAAATTCTGTTCCATAAAAGTGACAAGAAGACAATTTAAAGAGAAGGAAAGACAGTTCCAGCATGAGTCACTGCTCTATAAGTTCTCTAAACTACAGAAAAAAAACGCGCCATAACCTCTTGGCAGCACACAGCTTAGTAAGCAGCCTACAGAACAAGCTGGGAAACAAGTCACCCATCTTTGGTTTAGAGCAAGCACTAATACATCAGACAGGATATGCCAGCTACAGAGAACACCCATCCCATCCCATCCCATCCCATCCCATCCCATCCCATCCCATCCCATCCCACTATACCAAAATTTGCTGTCTCCTCTGCCATGTTAGTCTGGGTTTTAGCCTAGCTTTCTCATGATCTGGAACACCTCATGGGAGCTAGCCCATCTTAGTTTGACATGAAATGTGCACAAGCCCAGCAACAATTCATGAGTCTAAACGAAGGCCCAGTGAGTGCCCTACTCATGGAATTCCACTTCATCTTTAGACCTTTATCCCTCAGCACTCAAAGAAGGTTTCAAAAACACTATACTGAAAAGAATCTCGGATCTGATGTATTAAGGTCTCTGGTGAATTTGCTTTTCCTCAGATACTTGAGTTACAGAGAAGAAGTGCCATGTTTGCAGTTTTAATTTTGGATGGCCAATGGCAGGATTGTGAAAAAATATTTCTGACACATATATTTGCACGATGAAAGCATCTAATTCAGCCAAAAGAAGCAGGGAAACCACTCCTTTGTACAGCTTTGTACTTTTTTCTTTTTTCGTGTTGAAGTGACAAAACACATAATAAGTTACATCTGACTTGGTGAAACTTTGCATGTACAAGAGTTGGCTGGGAAATGCACTTTATCTGAACTTTGTGGCTAATGGCCAAGCTAAATAAACCCAATTAATATTAATTTCCCTTACCCCTTCCATCCTTTCCCTGGTAAATAGAACCACCTCTGGGATTTCTAATGGTAAGTTACCCTTGCAGCATCTGGTTTAACTTGGCTACTATATCGACAAGATGTTTTTCTACTTTGAGTCTATTCTCTCTTTTTTTGTAAACTTACAAAACTTCAGAATCCTTACTGCATCCCTGTGACTTTTCTTTTGTAAGAGTATTTTGGTCTCTTCCAGTTCATGCCTAGGCATAAAAGCAATCTAATCTAGCTTGGGAGATGTGTCTTAAACTGTAAATATTGTTATATTTAAGAGCCTTGGGGTGGTGTGTGACTTGAATGGATATGAAGATATTTAGCAAATATATCCATGTTCTAAAGTAGAAATAATAATTTATTACCCATGCAACACAAAAAAATTAAGCCACACTGCAGCCATGCCTCAGCATTAGCTCTGCTACTCTTCCAAGTGTGTTCTTAAGAAAGAGAATTCTAACTTTAGTGGATTTTATGGGAAGATGTTTTATAGGATGGGTGCTATGAAGATGAGCTGGAGTTGTATTTATTATATTCTGTGCAAAGTTCATTACCATAACAGTTGAACAAAAAATCACAGATGTGAACTCCGAGTGCTATCCCCATTTTTCTCACAGAAATGTTGTACCCTGAGACTCCAGACTCTTTTGTCTCTGTGTGCCAGGAGCTGGACCTGGCTTGCCTGATTTGGAAAGCAGCTTGTGCATTAGCAAATGTGCCTTCAGGATGGAGTTAGCATTTTAGTAATGCTTCAGGTCTGGCTGAGGTTGGGAACCATGGGGCTTCCAGTGCCTATGACATCCACCTCTGGGGCCACTTTGCCAGAGTTGTTCAGTCTGTTGCCACAGCTGGGGCCGGGGTACAATGCGAAAGAGAATATTGTTGATGTTAATGCAAGAAGTTAATGAAACACTCTTGATGTTAATGAAAGAAAAGGAAGATGAAGGGGCAAAGCTGACGAAAGAGAAGAGAGAAGAAATGCGTTCAGAAACTTCAGAACCTTGTTGATTTGTGTGACCTGGGGAGCCAAGATATACAGACACGCTGTGACAGGCATGTACCAGCACAGTGATGTGCTCTGAATAAACTGAGTTCCCATTGGGACACGGGAATGGTTGCAAGGTCACACCGAAGTCTGCCCCGTCTGGTGGTCTGCCTCTGAGCATGGCCAAGAGCCATGTGTGAGGACAGGGCAGACACAGCACAGTCCTCTGGAGAGCTCTGCCAGCACCCCACAGTCTGCACAGACCGCTGTCTGCAGATGAAACAAGATGAAACTTTTTTCCCTCTGTATGTAGCTGATTTTTCTAGCCTGTTAGTTGGTGGAAATGGCTTATACCAGACTGTGTCTGATCAGAGGTCTCTTCTTAAGGGGAGACACTGGTAACTTTGTTTAGCCTTGCTGTAAGTGGTTGAAATAACAAACCCAGCAAAGCCACAAACCCACTTCATGTGCCAAAGCCCTGTGGTAAAACGACTGCAGAGCTTTAAAAATGCAACACAGAAAATGGAAAGCTTCTTCCACATACAGAGCACTCCCTTAAGCCATTGACTGCTTTGGATCGAGTTAGAGATACATTTCATGCATAAAAGGGAGAACTAGATTGCTGTAGAGGATGCCTGTATTTTCCGTGGAGGGAATTTATACTCTACCTAATAGCTGTGAAATGAAATCCTTTTGCAAACCACCCTGTCCAAACACTGAAGGGCTTTTTTTTTTTTGCAAAAGGACAGAGCATCTGCAGAAGCTGTCAAGAATTGATATACTTTTGCCTCAAGTCAAAGAGTAATGTATTGACTCTCAATGTGATTAGGATGGACTTTTGCCCAGAACAGAAAAATTGGTTCTGAATGAAAATTGCTCTTCAGAAGTAGCTCTTTCTTAATGATGCTATTATTATTTTATTTTAATGTAATTAGGGTTATGTTCTTAGATCATAATTGTCATTGTTATACTTCCCTTAAGTCAGCATAGCATTACATTTAGTGGTCTTAGTAATGATGCAAAAGGGTTGTGAATCTCACTTGCCATGGATAGAGCCTTCTGTTTCTACATAATTTGGTTGTGCTTGGAAGAGAAATTGTCCTTGAGGTGCCTCAGAAAGGTACTGTCTTGATCATAGTAATTACCTGAGATTGAAAAACCATCTGTTTAAAATCAGGTCTTCTTACATCCTTTATGTGCCATCTTTAAAACACAGTATTCCTTTACCCCCCTGAAAAATTAGAACAACTGACCTGCTTAAGCATTTTTCTAGTCATATTATTTAACAAATTGTTTTTTAATAGCTGCATTGGGCAATGAACTATTTCAGCTGAGCCTATGGTGACCATTTTCCTGCAGCACTGGGATGTTGGATAATGGTTCTCTCTGTTCCAAGGAACTTGGGAGCTGAGGAGGGGTTCACCAGACAGGCCCAGAGGGTACACTGCTAGGTGTATTTTAATGTCTTGAAGGCGAGCAGCATAGCAGGATGCTGTGGAAAAGTTGACCTTCCTGTCTTGAGAAATAAAGATGCCATAAGTGATAAAAGAAAACCCCCTCTGTGTTCCCTCTCCCTCTCTAGTAATATACTAATGCTGCAAGAAACAGCCTAGCCTTCAATTTAATTTCAGTCACTCATGCATTTTTTACCCATGACATCACCCTGAAGTGATTAGGAAATTATATCCAGGATGTGAACTCAAGCAGAAGCTTATGGACTTTTCACTGTGTCACAAGGAACAAGAAATGAGGTGGCTCCTGCTGTTTTTCAACAGGTCTCCCAGTGGGTATTTGTGTCCCATGCTGCACTTGGGCTAATCATCTTTCAAGTCACTCCACATCAGATGAAGTGGAAAGGAGACCCCAGACAGTGTGTACGGGTCAGTCTGGCTGGGGAAGCAAGCAAAGGGATGATATGTCTGAGTGACCAGATCAGTGAAGTGCCACAGCAAGCCAGGTGAGCAAAGATCAGTGATGATCTGCAATACAATCACCTTCGATATAACTCCACCATGACCTCTGCCTTCAAAAATTTGCCTATTAACTTTGTACCAAAGTAAAAGAAAATCAAAAGCCGTGTTAATTTCCGTTGAGGAATAAGATCAGGGAAAAAAAAATCTGAATTCTCACACTTTTCTGCTGTGATAACATCTGTACCTCCCACAATGTGTTTGGAGATAGCGTGACTCTGTCAGCAGAAGATGATGCTAGCCACTTTGAGAAATGCCTGGTCAGGTTTCTATCATAACTCACTGTCTTGTAAATATGTTTAATTTCTGTTTTAGCAGAGGCTGTCTTCTAGCAGAAATACAGAGATTTGTGCATTTATCCTTCATAGAAATCATAACGCTTCTGGAGCTTACAGACAGGCGTTACAAATACCTCCCTCCAAGCCTCACTCTCGGCGAAGTTCATTGTCATCTGGCAGCAGAAGACATCAATCACTACTCAGAAGCACAGGCTAATGTTTCTAAGCCAGGCAGGGCTTGTATCTGCTTCCCAAATAGCTTACCCTATCAGTTCTTTTTATTGAGATTGATTCCCCATATTTTGCTAGTTTGAGGATATAGTCCATTTATATTTATCTTGTATTGTACAGCTAATAATCGACATTGTTACTGTACTTATTTTATGAGCCAATTTCTTTGTACCCAAGGGTGTTTTTATTACTCCCCTTTTGGCCTTTCCTTCAGAGCACTGAAAGTATACAGTGAAGGGGGAAGAAGTGTTGTACAGGCTTTGTAATAAAATACATGGTTTGATAATTATTTCTTTCTTTGTATCACGCTCCCGCTTTCTTTTTCTCTAGCTCTGCCTAGAACACTGACCATCTATGCAAGTCAAGAGGCAGCTTCAGTGTAATTTCACATTCTCCATATCCTCTTTAAAATAAAGAATAGCCAAGATGCTGTGTCCCACTGATATTTGGTGACAGGGACATTGCAAAGAGTATTATGAGGGAGCAAAGCTAGCCACTGCAGCCACTTTCAGCCTGCTGAGGAAATTTCCTATGCTACATATATTTCCCCGGGAAAAGAGACTGCTGGTGGCAATGGAAAACTTGATGGGGACAGACTGGAAGATACTCTATTTTTTATTCTCTGCATTCAATTTAGCATCACTTTATGCCTGCAAAACATGATATCTGAAATTCTGGGTTAATAATAAGCTATCAGAAAACTTAATGACTTTTCTGTCAGGCTGAATCTTGCATAGATACATATGAGCATTTGTACCTTCAACTTGTTATGGAAGATGACATATTTACAGAAGGAAATTTTCATCCAGAAAATTAGGAACCGAACATGAGGCAAAATGGCATAAAGTTGGTGTCTCATTTCATTTTTGACAGTGAGTCTGTAAGCTGATGACATCCATACTGCTAGGATTACTCTGAAGTTGTCTTTAAGCACATGATCCAGTGGAGACTGACAAATACCTTCATTATTGCAAATTAGTGCAGAATAGTATGAAAGATGAGGCAATTGCCAGGGCCTGGAGGCTCCTCTAGCAAGTGAATTGATGGTGTCAGTCAGAAGAAACTCCAGATATCAGAGCCAGGAGGGGCCACTACATCACTGAGTCTGACTTCTTGAGTAACACAGCCATTACTTTTACTCTGTTACTTGTATCTTCATAATATCTCGCTTCTCACAGATGGATGATTAGGCAAGATAATGGGAAAACAAAGGGAAGCAGATCTGTCTTCAAAGATACAAAACAACTACAGCCTTGGTACCCTGACACAGGAGCACATTGACACTTGCTGATGCCCTTCTATCAGCCTCACAGCCTGGTGGAGCAGCCCAGCAGGTAACTCTGTCTAGGTCTCTAATTCTCAAACAGACACTGTCAGTCTGGGGTGAAAATATCCTGTCTGAGGAGTATTGAAATCCTGTCAGTGCTGAAGTGTTGGTATGTCTGTCAGCACTGGCATTTTGGAGACAGCATCCCCTGGATGTAAAATTGGTCCTAGCCTGGGAGCAGGACCTCAGAGAAAGTTCCCTCTGTAGCTTGGACCTGTATTTGTACTGTGAATAGATTCTTATTGCTATTTATATAAGAAAATAGAATTTCTTGAGAATAATATTTTTATGGATCCTTATATTCTGTAGTATTTGAGACAAGCAGTAATTGTCACAGATGTCCTTCACAGAACGTCTCAGCCTCTTGAACCACTGTGGGTATCTGAGGGGCAGCACTGTACAGCAGTGTCCCGAGGGTGGAGCTGGGAAAACAACCCTCAGCTACATGTTGTGTTGTTAGTGGCGACTCCACAGCCTTCTGCTACTCAGCCAAAATATGAGGCAGGCAAGGAGGGAGCCTCATAGCTTTCTAGGGACATTTTGAGTCTGCACAGATCAAAGAGGAACTGCAGGACTTTTGGATACAAACTTTTGTCCTCTGGATTAGCTTGATGAGATTGGACATTTTCTTTTTCATCTCATGATGATCTATTCTGGGAAATTTTGACTCTTTTTGTCTTTCCAGTAAATGATTGTCTTTAATGAGATTTCATCTGGAGTCACTAACCCCTTAGATAAAGCCACAAAATCCAACTAAATTAAATTTTAAACATAACCATTTCTTTCCTTAACACATTTGTTTTTATCAGTTTATACATTTTTTCAACTAATATTTCTTAGATAAAAACCTAAAAGTAGCTTTAATGAGAGCAACAGAGCACTTCTTAAAGTGACAAAAATAAGTATTTTCCTTCCTTCTGGGAAAATATTTTTTTCATAATGTGATTTTAAATTACAAAATTTCTTTATTGGCTTTAAATTACTCTGCAATAAACAGTACATAATCTATATTCTCACCTAAAAGGAGGCTTTCTATTTTAATTCTTAAAATCTGGTGGGTTTTTTTTCCAAAGGTATAGTAAGAAGAAAGGAATGTCTTAGAGTATCTGAGTCAGACAATGCTGATGGGAGAGATCCCTCTTTCAGTGGCTTTATAAAACACAACATTTCTCACCTGCAGCTCAGGCACAGGCTATAAATCCAAGGTGGTGGAATTACACACCTCCCAGGGGAATCACACTCTTTCCATTAGTATCCTGCTATAAAATCAGTAAGTTTTTCCCTGTGAGTTTTGCTGTGTGTAGGTAACCACATGACCAGCTGACAAGAGGACATGGTGAGCTCGGCTAGTTTGTTGGAGCACAGATACCCAGGCCCATTTGAAATGCCCTGGGCAAAGGGGGATGTCCCCACAGCGCTGGCAGATATGGCACAGGACTTGAGGAAGAACTGTGACCTTCTTGAGGATAGGCTGGATACCCCAGCATGTCTCAAGTGAAAAAAGTTGTTCACATTGATGCGATGTACTGCCATTTGCACAAAACCTAAAGCCATCCCTGTCCTCTCTCTCTACACTTGGCCACAGTCCCACGAGGCTACAGAACGCCTTGGAAATGAAGACAATAATAGCAGAGTTCATCAGCTCCAGCTCATGATGGCATTTCTAACATCCGCACCTATAACTGCAAGTGACTAGTGACAAGGAGACAACGGCTAAGCATAATATCAACATTTTGTTAACCGTGTTTGCAAAAGCAAGCAGCCCCCTTCACCCCTTGCCCTCACTGCTGGAGCAGGAACTCCCCAGCGGAGGAGCAGCCTGCGTGGAGTGGGGAAATGGCCTCACCATGGGGGGATCAGGGCATCAGACTGCAGCTCCCCGAGGGCAGCCCGGGGTCAGGCACGGCCTCCCGGGCTCCCACTGCCTGTGCGGTGGCCTCGGCACACACTGCTCAGGAGTGCTGAGCTCCGCAAATTCCCCCTTCCTGCCCTGACACCCCCTGCTCGTGTCTGCACTGAGCGGTGTGCTCTGCCACAGGCTATCCGTGCTGCTTCTGAGAGAGGGATCTTCTGGTGCTGTAGCTGCGTGCAGGAAATGTGATGCTTGGATGGAGCTATTCATGCCCTGCTCTCCCAAAGACACCGAGCTATTATGATTATGTTGCCTTAGCAGGAACTTTTTTGTTTTTTAATATCTTCCCAGGAGAAATTTGGTGTCCTCTCACTATGCAGGGGGATTTCACAAACTTTCATTCTAGCCTACCCATGACCATGGCAAGAACAGCTGTCTCAAAAGATGGTGATGCAGGGTAATGTTGATTTCTCAGTCTGCTAGAGGGTGAACCTTCAAAATCCAGTGCCAGAAGAGATATCCTTGCCTTGGCATCAATTGATCAGGCAGGAGAGGATGCAGCCATGACAGGGGAGATGCTGTGCAGCTATTTAACTGCTTCACATGATGATGGAGCATGCTGGTCGTGTTCTTTATCCTGCCTTTCTCTTGGATAGACCACATTTGTGTGCGTACAGATGCACATTGGCTGAGTACGTAAGGGGATGTGAAGAGAAGATGAACTAGCATAAAACAGGAGTAATGGGAAAGTATTAAAACTCACTAATACTGTTCTTAAATTTCTTCAGTTACAGTTTACACTTTCACATTTCCTAGTCAGTCAAATTTCTGTGGTAATTAATGCACTAAAAAACATTTGGGGTTGATGCAGTGCTGTGATTTTAGCCTTAATGCCTAGTCTTGGTTTATCTGACTACTTGTCTGGGGTCTTGTGAATCTCTGTAGCAGATTGATGCCTCTTCAAAGCCATCTGGAAGAAGATCTACCCACTCTTTTTTTTCCCCTGCTCTTTTAATTGGGACTGCTGGCTGGCCCTGTGTATCAGAGCAGTACAAAGGCTGAGAAAACAGAGGTCTTACACTAAGCCATTCCAAAGGGCAGCAGGAGACGTCATCCATTTTGTGCATAGATATGTTTAGATAGATGTGGTAAGCCATGAGAAGTGGATGCCTTGACAGGTTACTTTTCAAAGACTGCTGATTTGCAATGACCTCTGACTGCTCTGAAAACAGCTGAATTCTGCAGACTCTGGTAATCTGAGATAGAAGCTGTTTTGAAGTCGGCTGGGTGTAAAGAGTCTATTGCTGCCCTGGGTCTCTCAATACCACAAGGAAAAGTAGAGCAGGGGGAAAAAAGGATGCTATAGCTGGAAACTCCCTTGTCTGATTTTGTATAGGACAGCTTGCGCTGTTTGCAGGACAGCACCTGGATGAAAATCATGCACTTTTATGCTCAGAAGCTGTCAGTCCCCCCAAAGCCAGCCATTGACTGAAATGTGTGTAAAAATAACTTGTTCCTCACTACATTATGCTTCCCTGTGCTCCTGTGTGGGAGCCTCATATAAATGTATTTCAAATGCACAGCATGTTATATACCATGTTGTGGTCTCAGTTATATAAAATATAGACTGTATAGGGAAAGGTAGGAACACCATTCTTTTCTCTCACACTTTGTTATGGATTAAAATTATCAAGTTAGCATAATTCTTCCCAACCTGTACTGGGGTCTGATACCTTTCTATCAGACACTTAGAAGTTTGAAGTTCCATGTTTTAGGAAGTTAAAGTAGCCAGGTATTTATGCTAATTTTCTTTTGGTATCTCTAACTCATCTGATTTAATAATAGTCTCACATGTATTTTTAAGCTTGAAGAATATTATTTCTAGGGCTGATACAGCATTTTTTGGTGCTGAATCATTAACGACAGTAGACATCACTGTAGTTTTAAATGAGTGAGCTTTACTTAGCACTTATAATGTCTTTTGTGAGAGTGGCTGATTTCCTTCTCCATTTCTAAACCTTACTTTTTAAAAAAAAAAACCCAAACCAAACCAAAAAACAAAACAAACAAAACAAAAAATCAGAGAAGTCAAATGTCCTTTTAACTTCCAGCAATCGGAAGGCAAATGAAAAAAATGGATAATTATTTATGGAGCAGTTTTATGATTTTTAAAGCCATCTCATAAGTTTGATTTTCATAATAGTGCATTCTGCTTGATTTGGATTGTCACTTTCTCTGTATTTTAATTTTATATGTTAATAGTTTTACAGAAATATGCTCATTGCCTAAAAGCACCAGAGAAAATTGCTAACAAAACACCACAACTGGGTCCGAGATGATATAAGCTGCCCTTTACAAACAGGAAAAATTCATCTCTGCAATTGTCTCTGGTATAAAAGATCTCCTTCAGGCCCAAACACTTTCTGTTCACATGCAGATACCAACTGCAGCAAGTCAATACAATCCCATTCACTTTTTCAGCTATTCTGAGCTTTGATTCTGGCATATATAATCTACATTTTATAATACAGATATGTATTTTCTTTTACCATAAGAGTAATTCTTAGCCATGTTTCCACAATTCTTTGATCTTGACTTAAGATGACAGGATTGAATCTAAGATCCTGGTTAAGCATATTGTTAACATTTTGCTCTCTTTTTAATACAGAAATTATATCAGTATTAGATTTTAAACTCAATGGAAACCTGTGTTTAGTAATTAAATCACTACATGGGAAATTTTGTTTGGTTTATAAATGTTCACAGTAATTTAGTTTTTCAGTTCTGTTTTTTTACACCTTAAATACAGATCCAATTTAAGCATTCTGTACATTTATTGAGAATTTAGTTCAATGATGTGAGTGGATTTACAGTTGAACTGCCAAAGTCCTTTATATAAATATGTGCATAAATACATAGACTATATCCCAGGGGAGGAAAAAAAAAAAAAAGCTTTATTCAGAATAAAAATCACTTTCATCCTGGTTTTACACTAAAATTTAATTGTATAATTGTTGAAAAACCAAATAAATTCATTACTGACCTTTTAAGGGTGATTTCTAAGCATATGGGGATCATCTACATTTTGAAAGCAGTTGTTTTTATGACCTGAAGAGCATACATGAAACACTGGGATTTGAGCTGCTTTCTGTAGAAAAAAAGGAAAAAAGTGCTCCTTCTGGCTTATAAAATATTTCTTTTTTTTCTTGCAGTGATATATCATATTATAAAAGTATCATCAACATATAATGGTCACATTCTCCAGTGCATAACAAACATACGTGCTTGTTAAGTGCCGACTGAACGAACATTCAGTACCTCCAGAGCCATGATGTTCCACAGAAAGAAACATATGGAGATAGGCAGGACTTGTTAATTTGTTCTCAAAAGGATACAGATAAAAGCAGATGCTAAGGGGAAATAAATTACACTTTTTTTGTACATTTTCTTCTGTAGTTTTTCATTTTTTCTTCTGACCCGCCTAGCTGACACAGAATTTCCTTTGCGACATTATTTATTGCCAGCCACGTTGCTAGGCTGCCTGGGAGGGCAAAATGGAAAACTTTGTGAAGAGTACTTGGAGAGTGCTTTTTTAAAGCAGATGATTTGTGGGCAAGTCTTGGAGAGCTGGGGGTGTATTTTAGGTATTTTAGCTGTCCTGTAGCAGGCTTTTACACAGTGAATGAAAGACTCTGCAAAATGTTGCTTATATGTATGTATTTGATATGATGTATTTGAGTTTCTCACCAGTATGTAGGCTGTACTCTTCTCAGCATAAAGTTAGACCTTCTGTTTCTCCACTTGGAGGCTGTATAAATGTTGGAGAGTTATATTTTGGAGAATGTATGTTAATTTTGGGTTTCCCTCTTCTAGGATTTTAATTACTAGAGAGCAACAACACTACTCTTCAGAAAATTAGATTTTTATGAAGTGCCTCAAGCCACACGCCAAAATTGGAGGCATCAGAAACCATTAGTCACTTCTGAAACTTTTAGGGCTTGAATGACTGGCCTAGCATGTCCTTTGCCTTTTTTGAAAGGTTTTAATGGGAAATTTGCTTAATCTGGACCTTGTATAAAACAACAGCCACCAAAGATCCTCAAAACTCCTAAAATACATTCAGAACTCCTAAAAGCAAACAAGTCAGGTCATGAGCACACCTATATGCCAAGTGTATACATGTATTAAATGTATTTCTGTATTGTGTGGACTTGTTTGCATAGAGGGACACATGGAGGAGGAGCAGCTACGAGATCTATGATATCCCATGGATGAATGCAAGGAGCCAGCTAGGAAGGGAGAGGAAGGGATGCCTGTGAGGATGGGGCATCACACTGCTGCCCAAACCATGCACTTCTCCTCCTCCTCCTCTTCCTTCTCCTCCTCCTCCTCCTCCCACCCAGGTGTCAGCTACAGAGAGCAGGGATAAGGGAGGTGACACGGGAAGCCTGGGACAAGGGACAGCAGGAAGATTGGAGGCAGGGACTACATTCAGAAGCTCTCTCTCCAGCATCACCACTGTAACCTGTGCAGAAATGCCACTGGGAGACTGAGCTGCCAGGTAGGCTGTGGCATGTGGGAGATGGCTCCTGTTGGTTCAGCAACCGTGCTTTACACCTTATGCCCGGAGATCTGTCTACAACACCGGACAGAATATGCTTCAGAATCAGACCTGCTTAGGAAGGACCCAAAGCAGCTCTACCACACAAAAAAGATTTTCTGCAAAACCCACTGTTTCCTTCATATGCTCCCACCTATTCCCCTGAGGTTCTCCCTGCTCTGTCAGACCACAGTGGGACCTGTCACAAGAGGCTTGTGAGCCACGGCACCATCAGCCACAGTGTGCACAGACAATATTTATGGTTCCCACTTGCCTACCTAGTTGGGTGTTTTGGGGTCAAATTTTTATTACATTTTCCTTTTGCATTGAAGAAATGTAAAAAACCCTGCTTTAACTCAGTGGTAATGAGTGTGTGGGTTTTAGTCCTAGGGTTTTTTAGCTTCACAAGCATTATTCTTTCCTAGAAATGGTCACTTCTAAATATATGATCAAGCATCCTTCCACATATGTGTCCACATGTGTTCCCGCACACACTATAACAAATAATTCCCCAGAGGGTAGCCCAAACCAGGTGGGTAGTAGTTCTGCTGCTGTCCCCAGTACCAGATGTTTCAGCTGTGAGGGCAGTGCCTTGGTTTTGTCAGCAGCCAGAACACAGACTGGACATGTTCTCAAAATACAGTCAGTGCAGTCCATGCTATTTGTGCAGGTGAGAAAGCAGAGGGGAGGCTTTACATGTGACTAGGGAGGGAGAACGTTTTTGTCTATTTGAGCTCTACTTTCAAAGTGGTACATGAAAAAAGCACATGCAATGAAATATAGAAAATCCAATATAACATCCAACTGGGCATTCAGATGAATTGTGCTGAATGGCTGATGGGTACATAATATGTTACAATGTCATTTGATTATCTGAAAGTCTTATAGACCTCCAGAGGTAATCTAGTCCAAGCTCTTGCTCAAAGCATCCAAATTAACCAAATATCAATAGTAACCTGAAATGTTGACCATACCCATGACGTGCCAATGATATGAAAAATGTGTGGATCTATACTTACTGCAGAAGAATAGTCTTGAACAGTGCTCAGAAATTACTCTTTGAGGGAAATATTTCTAATTTTTTTTTTTTTTTTTACTTAACTAAGTGTGGATGACACGAGTAAGCATTGGAGCCAGCTGGTCCCATGGGAGATGGTGACACCAGAGGGTGTCCTACCCACATGATTTGCCAGAGAACAAAGTAGAACAGGATGGCTCAGCCTGAGTTGCTTTGACTGGCTTTATTTTTCAGGGGAAAGAGAGGCACTACCAAAGGGCAAATGTCTTATGTCAAAAATGGGTACCTTTGAGAGATGAGTTGTTTCTCTGACCCTCTGGTGGCTGTAAAACCATTTAAATATTGAGTTCAGAGGTGACACTATCCTTCCTATGGCTAAAGTTCAGGCGATGAATCGTGCCCTACTGTGTTCAAACAAATGTTGAAGAAATGTGTGCCTTTCTCAGTGCTGCTGGATGGAGAATGAGATAGTGGACTTTTGAGCAATTCTCCCAGAAATGTGCAAAGCTGCAAAAATTCAGAACCTATTTGGGAATCCTCAGCCATCAATAACACAGGCAATAGTGAAATAACAGCAGGACGCTTTACTTTTAAATGCTTCTCATAAAAATGAGGGGAGCAGATTGTTTATATTAACCTTTCTGGGAAATGCAATCAAATTGTCCTTGAAAAATGTTAAAGAAGAAAAACATAAGCGTGACTTTCAATAGCCCTTAACAATCTGTGAACCGGCCCATTGCTAACTGTCACACACAATGTACATTTTGTTTAGTGATTTCTGTTACACTGCCACTCTCTATGAAAATGTTTAAAAGAATAATTCAAGCTGCATGATCCCAGGTGCATAAACATGTGCTCCTCAAGCCAGCAGAGAAACTGCCGAGCCTAGCAGGATTGTCAGACCCACGGGTCAATTCAGGGACTAAGAAAATCATTTCCTATTTTCCTTTATGGATTTGGAGCATGCTGGGATCAGCCAGTCTTGAAAAATAGAAAGAAGCTGTGTCTTCTACAGCAAAAACAGAACTGGGAAATGAAAGATGCCTCCAGCCCTGGCCAATTCTGTCAAAGCAGGATGGGGAAAATGTGTGGTTCCTGCTGTCTGAGGCTCCCAGCGGCTGCTCCTACTGCACTGCCAGCTCTGCAGAGCCGTGCCCTGCCTTGCTGAGAGCGGCTGGAGGGGAAGCCTGGCCCTGCTCCAGCTGAGGTGGTTAATACCTCACACTAAGCTTCCTCAGCTGAGGTCCCCGTGCCCTTGGCTCCCTGCTCAGCATATTTTTCAGGCACTTGAATTGCTCTTCAGAGGCCTTCAAAGGTGCCTACCTTTCCACTGACTAAGCAAATAGGCTTAAGTGGGATTTCAAGCCTTAGAGTACAGCTCTGTGCCTCCATGGGAACATGTGGTTTTTCCACAGACTGAAGCCCTTTGCTGTGTGCTCTCTTCTCTGGAGGAACAAGTTAGTGACTAGACAGGTCCTATTTCACCATTCACATGAAGTCACAGAGCAGTTTGTGGCACCTACAATAGCTCTAAATGCAACTGTTAGTACTTGCCGTGCCATGTGATGTACAATCCCTAAAATTCCCAATAATTTTCTCTTTTTTCCACTTTTGCACATGACTAAACTTCTTGCTGCCAGTCTGCCTGGCTGAAGCACGGCAGGCACTTGGAGTGGTCCCCTGCTGTGGGGTGGAAGCAAATCAGTTGTAGTGCTATGGCTTCAGCAAGCTTGGGCAGTCTTCAGAGGTTGTGGCAACCCCTTGGCCAGCCTGTGAGGGACGTGGGATCAATGTGCTTTAAAAGGTAGAGAAAAGGAGGAAAATCAGCAAAATACCATATGTTAATTATTATATTGAATACAACAGCAAAGATGGTTTAGAGAAAACAAAGTGAAAAAAGAATGCCTTATGAAATGCTTCAATTTCAAAAATTGCACAATGGAAAGGTCATCAGTTTTCCTTTGATCCTAAGAGTTGTTATCCTATCTCCTGGCAGTTCAGCACCTAACTCTGATTCAAACAGCACTCTGTTTGGAACCTCTTTGGAAGCCAGACACCCTCTCAGGAGAAGGAAAGGAATGATGTGGTCTTTCATGAAAGCTTGCAGTACCGAGAAGCTCATGGTACCAAAGGATTTCCTGTGTGTCCTACATGATCTATTCCAAGCTGCTTGTATGAATTAACAGGATGTTTCTGGTTTCCACAGTATCCATGCTTTTATGCTCTTGGTATAATCAAATACTTCTTTAGTAGACTTATGTACTGAAGCATACTAGCAGGGTTGAAATGAAACAAGTTTGAAAAATTTGACCTAATAGAAAGCAGAAGAAGGAAGGTTTATCTGTTATTTCTATTGTCCTCATCTGCTTTACACTGGCAAAGCATTAACATTGAAAAAGCTGCTTGGAAAAGATTAAACATTTCCCTGTGGAAATATCTGACTGTTAAGGGAAACATCCAAACCTGGAAATTTATGGCTTGAATTCTCCTGTCTGGAAACGTTCAGGGCTGTGATAGGTGAAGTGCAGGGTGGGTACAGCTGTCCTATTCTTTAAGAATATGGTTCCCTGCTAGGCAGAATCTTCTATGGTGCAATGGGGAGGCAGATCATGGGACAGAAGATAGATAGATAGATAGATAGATAGATAGATAGATAGATAGACAGAGACAGACACAGCCAACATACAATGAGCTCACCAAAGCACAATGTCATGACACTTCATGACGGAAACACTTTTGTTTGCTGGTTGACCAACATCTGATTTTTGTTTTTCTCTGTTTTAGTTAATTAACTA